GCCGCTTCATAGAGGTAAGGATAGTAGAAAACCCTACTCGGGGCGACCAATAGGTGGCGACGGCCGCGTGATAGGGATGGCTGGATGATATGAAACTATTTCCCAGTGCATTGTTGCAGCTGACAGCTTATGATGCAGTTTGTTTCAGTTCAAAAGTGTAAGGAGGGGTGAGGAAGCGTGACCATCTTCATACTATGTTCCCTCGAGGGATTTACCTCTGCAATTTTTTCAGGTTGCGTGACAGTGTGACAATTTCCATTAAAATTCCAGGGTGGTAGGAGGTACTGTGGGAGTTTAGTGTCCTGGCCTGAGCAAGGACCTGGACTGCTAGATCAGAAGTCCACTGGTTCCTAACCATTGGGCCAACCCATTTGCAAAAGATGTGCATTCATGCTTTTACCTCCACTTCCTGGACTGATCTCCTCAACACAAGAGGATTCTTGAAGACCACTCAACTGCACAGGATTCCCAGAATGACTCTCACTGGAAAGACTGTTCAATACAAGTTCCATTGACTTTGCTACTGCCTGGTAATAAGGTACTTTCAACTGACGTGATTCTATCTCTATGAACAACATTCATTTAAAACTGCAAATTAAATGGTGTACACTAATATTATGCCAGAAATTATTTATTAAAACAAAATAGATTATTTTGCCATCCTTGCTTTAATCATTGTCACCCAAACTAGACAAGATTGTAATTCAGCAGTCAGGCCTGTAAAATGTACAATTTTGCTCCAACTTGAATATGACATGTTGCCTGCCTCAATACATTTATACAATTTACAGATCATGTTTACTAAAGGCATCCATCATCAAGTGTTGATCAATAGCCTCGANGTTTAGGGTCAAACATGAGATCAGTGAGGTCATTGACAGCTTCACTAGTGAGGATATGGAAAATACGCCATTGAAGTCCCAGATGTAGTTTTGTATAAATCTTACGAGGGCTATATTTTTCAGTAAAACACTTGTGTCTATATAATAAATATAGTTATCATCTTCCCAAAAAGTCAGAGATACGTATGCTTAAGTCTAAATCACGTGAACAGCTCAGAACAATTTTGTACCCTTTTTGACTACATTGGGAAACTATTTAATAATATTGCCACCCTCCCCCACCCTTCCCTCACAAAGGCATCTTTGCTCCTTGTCAACAAACAGACTGAACTCACCAGCGAAGTAGTATATAATAACTAATAAGCATGACTCTGGTGCTAAAGATATCGGAGTGTTCCCTTTGCGGTCACGTAGAAGCAAGTCACCTCCTTTTCGCAGTAACAGTTTGAGACATTTGCCATGTCCCTTCCACGCCGCAAGATGAACAGGCGTTCGACCGTCGTTTGGATCAACAACGTTTGGATCACCAT